CAATGCGGTTGTAAATGCTCTAGTGAATTTGTTTATTTTTTAATTTCCCTACGTTGCATCATATAGCGTTTTCGAATAAACGGGGTTTGAACGATCTAGGGTTGATCAATCACTATTTTACTATAAATGCAAGTCTTTCATTGGTGGAGAGGTTGCAATGACGTCATTAACCAATCTTGGGTCGTTCAAACCCCGTTTACTCGAAAACGCTAATATACAATCGACTTTCCTGTTGCCTATCTGCGAAGAATTATTTCATTGAAAAACTGACAGATGTGCGTCACACAGAGCCGATTGGCTTGGATCGGCTTTACAAGTTCCACGCGTTTGTTGCATCAGAATTTTATTAGTTTTTGTGCATTTTTCGTACTGTTCCGTGTTTTAGAACAAGAAAAACATTCTCTCATATTGTTGAAATATTTCAGTACAGTATGCAACTGTATATAATTTTTTTATGATTTGAAATACTTGATAATATTTTTGCAAAAATATAAACAAACATATACACTGTTTCGGATTAATTTGTTTATATATTACCAAAGGTACGCAAGCAGTATAAACCATTTATTTATTTAACTTGTGTGTGAAAAATGTTGGCTGGTTTATTTTTCTATCTGCAAAAATCAATTTGTCATGTTTTGTTAATCATATATGTTGCATTATTTATTGTGATTTAGTTCTTATTTGTACATTATAAATATAGTCCACAAAGGAAGAATTAATAATATTTTAATATATATTATATATAATTTTTTTTACATATAACATATCCATGCTCAATAATGCAATATTGTTACATAAAAATACAGTGGTTTGTTTTCTTTTATATTTATATTTTTTAGTATAATTTTTTGCAATAAAGCAAATAAGTAGCAAATTATTTAAAAAATATAACATTTTTATTGTAACAGATGTCTGGAAATAAGTGTCGCAATTGTGGATCTACCAACATCGAGACTGATCCAGCACGTGGAGATGCGATTTGTATGGAATGTGGTTTTGTACTGGAAGATTCAGTTATCATCAATCAGACAACCTTTGAGGAATCATCCTCGGGTAAAGTGATGGTGCTGGGACACTTTGTTGCCAATGATAGCACTGGTGGTGCTACAAGCTTTGGTGCACGTAAGTCATTTGATTTATCTAGATTTTATATAAGTCTCTTTTTGAAAGACAATGCAAAAATCTTTTGTTACACATAGCATATTATGTCAATGGAAAGGAATCTAGAGGAATCACTCTACAAAATGCTCGGAAAGGTATAACAAATCTTTGCATACAGTTGGGGTAAGTATCTTTTTTTTTTTACAGATATATTCACAATTAGGAAAGATTTTATCATTGAATAATTATTATCTGTATGAGTCTGTTATTTATATATTTCTTTTTATTTTATCTATTTCTTTTAAAAAGAAAGAGTAGCATTTTAGGATGGTATAGTGATAGTTGTTGAAGGAGTTAATTAATTTTTCTATAAGGCATTGTAAATATGAACAAAAATTGTTTTTCTCAAAATTGTAATGTAATATGCACTTTTTGAGGCCAAATTTACAACTATAAATAAGTGTGGGAAACTAATTTTCTTTCTCACAGATAACAAAAAAGAAAAAAGTTTGATTTTGCCAGTGTAATTATTTTTTGTAAATCTATAATTTCTGTTTTAGCTTAAATCAAAATTGCATTGATACATCTGTGAATTTCTATAAAATGGCATTGAGCCGCCATTTGACACGTGGAAGAAAACAGGCTCACAACCAAGCCGCCTGTGTATACATTACTTGCCGTATCGAAAGAACTGAACGTATCCTTTACATTGCATTGTAACAGTGTAAGAAATTAATAGGAGTAGATAGTACATTTTTCTTACATTTTCATCAAATCTTTTTCAATGCACCGTTGAGTATTCTTTAATGCATAGTTAGAGACCATTGATTACAGAGTGGTAGAGCTCATATAGAACAGTGCAAAACGAAAGAAAAGACACCCTAAAAATTTAAAGAACTTGTGCATATATATACATAAAAGCAAATGTCTAAAGAAACTATAAATTCTTAACAGCTTATATAGATATGCTCATTGACATCAGTGATGTTCTTCACATTTGTGTTCATGAACTTGGTCGAACGTATCTGCGGTTTACGCAAGCCCTATGTATCAACATACCGTCAATAGGTAAGCAATTTACACACGATATAACTGCATGATATGTTTAATAACTCGCGCAGGGTTGGATATTTACATGTAAAACTATAACAATTCATGTGTAGGTTTAAACAGTGTCTAACGTGTCATCTATGTAGACAATGTATAATTTATGAAATGTTACTTCATAATTTGTTAAATATGCATATTTTTGTTAAAAATATCTTTCTTTGTTCGCTATGTTCGAATATACAAAATACATATTTTACTTGAAATAGCTAATATTTTTTTCTAAAACTTTGATAGTTTGTACATATTATACAGTTGCATTTAATATATAAATGTTTATACTTTTATGTTAACTTTGTGAAAGTATATTTTATGCTTAACAGTAATATATTAAAACACATATTAGTACTGTGAATTATTATTATATTAGTATTTTTTATTTCGTTTTATAAAAGTATATACTTTTATAATACTAATGTATAAATACTAATATATGTTTAAATACAATAATGTTAATTAAATAATGTACAATATGAGGTATATTAATTAAAGATGAGTTTACTTTTACGTAAATTTTTTAATCGATTTTGAAATTGATAGATAATAGCGCAATAATAATTTAATGCAAGATTATTAATTTTTCCTATTAAATATATTTATTATTAATATCCAATTCAGATATGTTGACTATTTAATAATTTTATTATTAATTTTGACAATAGTTCACATTGTTTACTTGAAAAAGTTGGTGTAAATATCATGTAAACAATACATGATGATAATCCATGTAGATATAAACATGAAGTCTGCAGCACGAACATAAACTTGCGCGTATTTTGTCGGATTAATAGCAACATTTCTTTATTCTTTTATTAGAAAAAAATAAAGAGAATTAGAAATTACTTATAATTTTTATTTACAACACTTCAATAATTTAACTAAATGAGATCCATAAAGCATAATTTATTTTAAGAAGTAAACGAAACAAATGTTATCGCTTAGAAAGACAAATCAGATTATTATGCAATTTATGTTTGTCGTATATATGTAATACATATATATCTATGACGAATTCAAGATTTGTAGTTGTTTACAAGAAGTCTTTAAAAATTCCTCCGTCAATATTAATGCAACTCGTACACTAAGATTACACGATTGCTCAATAGTGAATCGTGATGTAAACTGAATTGTGCTACAATACATAATAGCTGCAATTCAATTAAAAGTCAAGTGTTTGTTAGCTTGATTTAGCTAGCCAACCATTAAATATTGTTATTGGCATTGACTTAGCCATTTCGTTACATCATTTGACCGTGCTCAACGTTGTATCAATATCGAAGGGACGTATAAAGTAAGCAATTTTACACATGTGATCAGTGTTGTGAATCTGATTGATATAGTATCAATATTTTTGTTATTTTTCAGACATACCATGTATGTCGTAACATGTTTAGGGATTAAATTAACCGTGTTGGTCGCGTTTCAAGTAAACAATTCTTTATAACATTGTTAACAATCCTCACATAGCTACGGTACATAGTTACAGTAAATAATATGAAGCATCCTATAGCTTTCGCGTATATCATTTTTTCACAATTGCATTGAATATCTTTTATAGTATTGTAAAAGAACCAATTCTAAATATATATTTAATCGATTATGTGATATTACGCTTAGACAGAGCTCTCTTCTCACATTATACGTTATTATTCTAGATATTTACAATTTTTAAACAATCATTTACAGCTCTTCTCGATGCAAGAGCAAAATTAAATTTGTTGCACGAAGCGAGTAAAAGTATGACATTCGTTAAGTATGTATAGAAAAATAGATGTGCTCTTTTTCCAAAACTGCTCACACAACTCTTCACGAGTGAGATGGTAGTGTCTGGTGTTACAGTTTAATGTTATGGAAATCTTTTTAAAGAGTTACAACTAAATGTTTATTTACACAAGTAACGACGATGTGTCTGATGTTGAAACATGAAAAAAATTTGTAAAGAGAGTTTTAATTACGCAAATCTAATTTTAAATATAATGCTAATTGTTGTTTTCAAATCGCACAATACTGTACATAGTTTTTTTTCGCCGCCTACGAAAATATAATTTTTGAATAGGTCGCCTTTATGACAGTAACATATTGCGCGCGCGTGTACATAAAAATTTGGTACCGACCTTTGGATTGAGATAAACAAACGTTGATTATATACGTTCGATTGTATATATTCTCCGAAAAAAAACTCCGAGAATTAATAATAGCAACTTATGATGCATCGATAAATTATACAAATTTAAATGGATATATACAAACTTCAATGAACAATTCTACTTAGTTAATTAATTAGCTATTATTAGGAATAATATATAAGATGTCGAATAAAATTCAATATTTATATATTATACGAATATTCGTGTATTTTGGAAATAATAATTTCATTGAAAAATCAACGTTTTTGAAAATTTCACGCAAATACTTTTATTGGAATTTGGATGTCTCCACATATATCATGAGAATATCTGACATGAGAAATATTCCAATGGACTCATTTAAATAAAAAAAAAATTTTTTAAGTCAAGATTTTTTCGTCAAGATTCGTAATTAGATGGTATAAATATTGGATACGTTGTAAAAACGAATATTGTGCACTTTAAATAATCAAATAAATTAAAAATAATTAAAAATTTTAATATTTAATCATTTGCACACGCGTTTTTCTTGGTTAACGATATATGAAATAAGTTTATTTCACAAAAGAAAAACACAACAATAACAACTGCATGTGATTGGTGTATATCAATAGATCTATCAATATAAAGGAAAGTCTACTGTATCGTGATGTTACGATTAAACGACGAGTATTCTAATGCTTCTCAAATGCTTCTTATTTTTACGTTATTTACACAAGATTGTAACAACTTTCTCGGCAGTATAAATATTTCTCACATTACTTTTACGATTTATTGTTTTCTTTGGAAGAATTTAAGAAAAATAAAAATGAGTCCAATTGAATATTTGAATATTTAAATTGTTCGAATGCATGTATGAAATGTACATTTCCTCCATACGTCTCAGAATTTGACAGATTTTATTTGCGATGTATACGATCGCTCACGATCTGAGAATATTGGGTTTCGTTGCAAGTCAATTATACCATAAGCTCTGTAGTGATTTTCCGTCAGTCATCAGATGGCGGCCCGTAAAAAATTAATTCAGGAATTTGTCCACCTTGGACGCCAGTACCGTTGGTGCTCTCGGAGCTGCACTGAAATTGAAAGTTTACACTGCCAACCGTCGCTTCCGACATGCCTTCTTGCCCGAAGAAGCTCAATTCCCCGCCGTCCAATATTGCACTCGCCGTGTATGAACATTCTGGTTCGATCTGTATCGGATTTTCAAAGTACACATGGAACGTGTTGCTCGAGCCGTCGGAGAAGAACTTGGTGTTGTTCTCCGCCAGAACATTCCCAAGTCTCTTGAGTTCTATTTTAACATTGTAATCCGCAGCGCCGGACGAACTCCCGTATAACCCGAAGCCCACTACAAATATTCTCTTATCAACGCTGAATTGGATCGAGTCGCAACGACCTCTGTATCGCCATTGATTTGACCTATAAGCGCAGGATTGAAATCTATGGCAAACCTGCAAATAAGAGATATTGTTTTATTCATATTATCCACTTGGAAACTCAACTAAATTAATCGTTTATAAAGATGCTGAAAATGTAATACGTATAACAATATTGCCCGATATTATGTATCAGGATGGACATGCGATGATCGAAATGAATGAAAATTTGAACTCGGGACCATGTCTCGAAAAATCATAATTTCAAAACTTGAAACAATGTTTCGAAGGGTCACGACATTTAAAACAAAGTTCTGAATATATAAATGAATACATAAATCTCTTGATATACAACAGATGAATTTTACCCACCTGAGTTTTCAATCCTTGACGTGGTTTGATGGGAAAACAAAGTTGTGGTTTGTTACTAGCTGTAAAGTGTAGAAACAAATCAATTGTCTCTTGATGAGTTAGTATTCCCGTCTGTGCTGCACTGTTTGCGAACTCCTCCAGATTCATAGCGGGTAGTCTAATTAAATACAAGGCAGGTCCTAAAAAACGAAATACGTGTGTATATGTGTAAATTGTATATAATTTATGTAATTGCACGCACGTACCCACAATTAAACTACAAACAAACACATGCACACATACACAACTATTATGTATGTGTGTATAACGGATGGATATTTGTTCCGAGAGAGAAAAATTGTTACATTAGTACGGATCTTACCTAACAATTGCCTTTGATTGGCGGGAGTAGGCTCAAGATCTTGCCGTATACATTCCGCGGAAGCCCATCGTAATGCAGCATCCCATATATGGATTTCTTTGCAGTTTAGTGTCTCTCGGGATAAGACAGATTCGAGCGTATGAATGTCAATGTCCACAAAACCGTCGGATCTTAGTGCCATTTCTGCCTGTCATACAATAGTTTTTACTTAATGTCGAAGCTGAATCTCTCGCATATCGCGCTTGTTATTAATATTATAGTCCCGATAACTTTTATTATGTACGTTATGATCTAAAAAGTTTATCCTAAAAAGATGCAACATATGAATTTTCTTTAATAAGAATTACGTTTATACGTTTAAATACAAATTCACAATTATGTATACAATTTTAATTTTTATCGATTCATCGATTTGTTTAAAATGTTCATGCAATATTCACGCGACATTCGAAATACATAATATTTTAACAATCGCAATCTTTTTGTGTCAATATTGTGAATCATGCTTTTATATTTTATATTTATGTACGTATTATGTGTTATGTTTATAATCAGAAGTTATATCAATATTCGCATTAAGAATTATGAATGCATGTTAAAATGTTGCATGAAATATTGCCTGTTACGCAATGGTAATTGCAAAAGCGTAAAAATGGCAAAGAATTAATGATATACATGAATCATTTTTATATTTATGTTATATGTTAGAGGGAATCGTATGTTGCTACAAAGCCGATTCAGTTTCGTAGAATATTCAGTACAGAAATTACTTTCATAGTTTATTAAAAAGTGATTAATTTTATTATAATTGTCCCACTTTATACTTAATTATTACACTTGATACAAAATTTCGTAAGAAATTGTGCTTGATAAATAGTACATATATAAAAAAGTTTGCAATCTTTTTCTAAAGGAAAGTTAATTGATCTTAGATTAATGCTACATATGATATTTTTAACATATCAACTCACGTGATACCAAAACACATAAATTGAATTGAATTGAATTAAATTGGAAAAAAACAAAAAAACAAAAAAAAAAAAAACTACAGAACATGAATTATTTATCAATGATTAACAATGATGTAATTAACACTAATTAGCTGGTTTTGAATGACTTGAATGATATCGTTATAACAATCTCTAAGTCATGTATATGTATGTCTATAAATATTGTTTTTCTAAACAGTTTGATCAAGTATTAATTTGGGTGGAACAGTGACTTAATCTACAGAATGTTCCATTAGTTGTGTACTTTCTTTAATTTCTCGAGAGTTTTAATGATGCATATACACGTCACGTATAAAAATTGACCAATTGTGTTAATAACATATATATGCATCATTTAAAAAAAGTCCTTTATTTTCTACCTATAGAATCTTTGTAAAACACGGTATCTATAAGTTTTTGATCTTGCTAAAATCAAATCTTTAGCTAAAATTTTCGAATTCAATATGGCACACCTAATATAACAAACGTAAATCATCAAACTTGATTTTTGTATTTTTTCAATTCAAATCAAACATCAGTCTTGAAATTTAGAACATTTTTCTCATAAAACCTAAAAAATTTATTGTTATCTGAAATTTTAATTGGCTTATCATCAATATAAATCGTTTAAATTATTTTTTAATTTAATATATTATTGTAGATTTTATTTTTTATTCTTAAATTATAAAATTTACGTCTTAAAAATTAAAATTCCAAAAATTTTATGAAAAAGTTTTATGTACAATGTATCGTTTAAATTTCTCTAATTGCCACAATTTGGAATTCCAAAATTTCGATTGCAGATTGGAATTTAGCGTCCCGAACAAATCTGAATATATGTATATGGGTCATTTGAAAAGTTCATCAATATCGATTTTAGAGACACATCGATTAAAAGTTTCTGAAATTGCTAAGGCTATAATCACTCACACTTACTCTCGCACACACACACACACACACACACATACACACATCTTTCGGATAAATGTGTATTTCATATCTCAGTTGATAAATTATGTATGTGAAAAAGCTTTCTGCAAGATCTAACAACAAGACAACGTGCGTCCCCATAGTGCTGTTTTAACAAGAAAAATGAACGAATCGAAGCAATCGATTTGTTGTCACGTGTCCACCTTATTCACTCGATTTTCATCTATTTTCACAGATAAAAAAATTTCTTTCCGGAAAGAAATTTTCGTTAGAAGTAAAAAAAGCAGTTGACAAATCAAAGTTTTGTAATGGTATAATGGTTTTGGAGTATTTTGGCCAAGTGCATTGGTGTTGAAGAAGACTATGTTAAAAAATAAGAATAATCCTAAAAAGAAATATGTCGTTTTTCTATTACATTCCGAGAACTTTTCAAATGATCGTACAATCGCGTACAATTTTTACGTAAATTTGATTGTTTTTTCATAGAAATTATTTTTGGTAAACAAATATTTTTATTTTTTAACAGGGCTTAAGGGATTAAATTACATAATTAAATACAAATATTAGAAGATGAAATTTATCATTGGAAGAAAGTACGCTCTAGTTTCGTAACATTTTACATATATACATGCACCCACCCACTCACCCACTCACCCACTCTCACACACACACACACACACACACACACACACACACACACACACACACACACACACACACACACACACACACACACACACACACACACACACACACACACACACACACACACACACACACATATGTACATATATAAATGTCCTGCAGCCAATAAACGTTTGCACAAATGTTTGCTTGAGCACAAGTATAATCTGTAGCAAATAATATTATATTATATGCGATATGAATTTTGCAAAAGAGGTTGTGAAGCTAAAAGAGAAATCGAAATAATATTTCTCCGTAAGCAATCTGTTAACTAATATGTTTGAGACTCTATATAATTGTACAGAAAAACTAGCGGATTGTCGTTCGTTTTGTTCATTTAGCTGATTATTTGATTAGTATTCGTTGCTATTCTAGAAATGTCACTACGGTTGATTTTACCACACTCGTACTCGTCTGCTAAATTATCCTGATACGTGATATTTTGCGTGACTTCGACTTGATCGAATTTATTGTCTGGAAAATGAGGTTCGCTTCGTGTTCGGAAAAGTGAGAAGGATAGCGGCTCATCCGCGAGGACATTCGTGCAACAGTCATTCTCCGAGAAACTCAAACAGTGCGATAGTCCATCTTTGAAATTCTCGTAACTATCATCGCCCAATTCACCATTGCTCTTGCATGCACGTCGAAATCGCAGAATGTCGAATTTATTGTCGTGAACGCAAGAATGCAAACCCGAGGCATGATCGATTGAGTCGTCGGAGGGGCTCGAATCATCTTCGAGCATCCCGTCCAAGTTCTTGTCGTTCACAGTAATGGCTCTTAGCATCCTTTGGGTTTGACTTACTTGTGCATCGATCACTTCCCAACAACGTTGCATGAGATTGGGTTCTTCGAACAGGCGAGACTGACTCAGAAGCAAGCACGCGTTCTTCGCCGTCAAACTCGTTTCCAGATAATTGACGCACGCGCGCGCCAAGTGTGGAACTATGTATTTTTTGGCGACGTACAACGTTGCCAAAACTGTGTCCGCTTCTAGTTGCACTTCATCACAATACATATACCTTGAAAAACATACATAGACTCATATTTTCCCTCGATTTTTATTTATTTTAAAAATAAATTCAAAAAAATAATGTAGAAAATATTTACAGTTGCGCGAAAGTCGTTACAACAATGTATAAATAATTTAAAAATACGAAATCTTATCTTATTTGTCGTTTTGATCCTATTTTCCATGGCGTAAGTTGTAGGAAATTAATTTTCCAAATTCATATTCAAAGGATCTATCAGATCTTTTTGAAATAGTTTTATAAGAATTTAGAGGGATGCACACATGCACCTTTCTTGGTTGGCGCTTTGAATTATTTTGGGGTTTATTATACTTACCTCAACAGCGCGAGAAAGGCAGCTGGTTCAACATCAGGCACTTCTACATCTTTTTTATTTTCCGGTAACCCTCCATAAAACATGGCATAAAATACAGAACTGCCAGTAGCAAGGACGTATTTATGTGCTGGTATAGTTTGTGTGTGGCCTGATATCAAAGAGAGATTTAATGTCTTTCTCAATAAGCATCAGTTGGAAAAAAGTAAAGCGGATAGGGTTTACCTGGACTGCCAACAATAAATATAATGTCGGCCATGAGATGATTATTAAACATTGCCGCGTTCCGTTCCCGAACTGTAGGTTTCGTTGCTTGCCAGTTGGGATCTTGTGTGCAGTCTCCAGGCGATGGTAGATTTAACTGGGTGATAGGTGATGATAAGGAAGACAAAGGCGATGCGGGAGCACTTAGAGGCTGATTCACCGCGGTTCCTTCACGTTGTAATACAATAGACGAAGAGAGCGGACTCACCGATGGTGGTGAATCTGACGTATTACTTGGAGATTCCGCTGAAATAAAGAAAAAGAATTTTATTGCATTTATAATATGGTACAATCCGAGAGTCCTATCTCTTCTTTTCTCTTAGATCTTGTTTCTTAAATTGCGTTACAAGCATATTTGTAATGAACAATTTGTAAATGAACAATTTGATATTCCGTACCATCCACATGAACATATATGTTCAAGATACTTTGTCAATCTGAACCAACGCACGAGAATAATCAAGCTTAACGTTTACTCCACAGATACGTATTTCCGGAGTAATTTGTATAATGCGAAAATCTCAGTCAGCAATTTCGAGGTTCTTTATCGTTAAAATTTTTCAGACATTGCGCGTAGACATTAATAAAAAAATAACAATATTTAACAGAAATTAATTTAAAAAATATAAATAAATGCTGCAAGAAATGACCAAGATCACAAAGATCATATACTTGCAGCGTAGAGCAATATTTATCGATGCAATGGTGCAAAAAATTTTTATTTTAATTTTAGAGGTAAGACAACAAAGGCGATGATACTGCATTGGAACATCACAAGCGATCAGAAAAATACATATTTGTGCGATATAAGTGTTTAAATTATTATTATCACGATATCAATGCATTCGGAAAAGTACAAGTATTTCTTTAGTGAACTTATTTTTTGAGGAATATTAGTCTTATTTAAAATATATAATTGATTATTGTCGAATTATTTTTTTTTACAAGAGCCGATCATTAGTGTAAAGGGTACGTTGTAACAGCTTTCTCACACACGAGATTATATTGTTATCCATATTTAGCGTAAGACACTACGAATTTCCATTAATCTCTTGACAGCAGATTCATTCATCGCGCAATTTACATTATTTCTTTTTGTCTCTATATCTCTGTCTCCAAATTTCTCTCTCTCTCTCTCTCTCTCTCTCTCTCTCTCTCACCGTTCATCCAAGCATTTGTCTGTTTAACTGCGACGTTGTCCTGAAAACGCTTCATTGGCTTGGTGGAAATCTTCGAGTAGAGGTTCGACATTGCCATCGTCGTCACTCACGTTCACCGTTGTTGATCTTTCTCGTCGCGTCGTAATCCGTTGTTATACACGTGATACACAAAACGGCTCCAAGAAACCGAGTATCATCGGCTATACAGCCGCCATTTCCCATGGATGGGCGCTGGTTTAGGAGCGCCGCCACCGCTATCGTCGGCGTCTCCGTCGCCGCCGTGCCGTCGTGTCGGTCAATAGACGGATGAGAGGAGACGCGTAGGGCACACGCGCAGAGTGTAGCTGTTATCTTATTATTATCAACCGTATATTTGAACATTTGTCAACGTTACTGTCAACTTTTCAGAACGAGCTAGAAAATTTAAGTTTCTTTGTTCTAGGAAAGTATACGAAGTCAAATTTAGAAATATTTGAGAATGGTTAATTACAAAGATTATGCTTTACTTTTTTCATAACTTGAATCGTATTGTAAGCGTCGAAAAATTAGCCGAAGGAGCCAACCGGGTTTTAAACTCGGGATTCTTCGTTCCACAACCTAGCACTTAGCTTGCTGCCCCACGATAGCTCCACTACTCTCCTATTTATTCCGACCGCCTACCAAATATCTAAACAAGCCTTACGGCTTTATACTCTTATAGTATTAAGAAGCAGTTGTTTGCAATACCCCTCAAGTATAAAAAAATAAAATATTTTATTGCTTAAGATAATGTTTGTTTTAAGAAACAATTAATTTGATTTCTTCTCGTGTTAGACCTCGCAATAAGAATGTAAAAAAATATGCGCAACAAAATATATTGATTATAAAAAGACGCACATTATACATATGTCTAGATGCAGGGAACATTGTATGTTACACAAAATATATACGTATTTTATACAGATGTATCATACGTAATGCCACACAATAATGTATGGCAAACTTATTTATTAATAAAATAAAAATAGATTTGAAAAGAAAAAGAAAATTTCCGCGATGACTGCGATCGATCCTCAAGTAGAACGTTGTAAATGTAGCAGCAACAAAGCAAAGGTAGTGGGCATCTATTTTGAAAATCGTCTAAAAGTTACAATTAAATTCCAACTTTGTTTCAAGCAAGTGTGTAAAATACCTATATGTCGCGTGAGGTAAAACATGCTTAAAAATTATTTAAAGAAAAAACGATTTGGAACATCATAATATCTGAAGTAAAGAAAAGATAAATTTTTAGCTCCTTTAAAATATAAATTTATCTTTGTTTCATATAGATCCTTGTTTATACATCATGAGGTTTGCACATAAGCTCGAATTTGGGGATAAAACTCACTCCGTATCTATAACAGCTTTAAGAGTGGTTCAAAGAATGAAAAGGGATAGCATTCATAGTGGTCGTCGACCGTCAGGTCTATGTGGTGCAGGTAAAACAATTGAGATTTTAGATGTACACATATATTATATCTTAAGAGATAACTGTTTTTATTAAATATATATATATATATATACACACACACATACATACATGCTTTTTTTCCCTATACAGCTTTACTGATTGCTGCGCGATTGCATGAATTCAGTAGATCACCTGCCGATATTATAAAAATTGTTAAGGTACACGAATCTACTCTACGTAAAAGGTAAAGCAAATTTTTCTGCATGCATTTATTTGTCAGAAATATAAGGTCCGCCAAAAATTTCAGATCGATCAAATATCTTGAGAATAATGCACTTTTGACGAAAATATTTTGGAAGAAAAATTTAAGACGTTAAAATAATGATGCAGTGAATAGTTATGTTACATTATTAGCTTTGGATTGGATTCTTATAAGATTACATAAAGTTTTTAAACTCAACTTAAACTTTTCGAATAAAAACCTATATTTTTTATCATTCTTGTGGTTGATGCAAAGGAAGGTACATACAATTTTTTCACAATTGTACGCTTAAATCTTTTTTTTGTTAAAAAACTTACCGAGAGAAATTGCATTTTAATATGATGTTTCGACAGAAATGTATGGAAATATCTTATAAGATATTCATTTTTCAATGACTTTTCTTTAATATTTTTATGTATAGAATGTGATGAGAGGAATTGATAGAGATAATACTATGATAGCATGCGTGTGCGTATGTATAATTTTCTTTTGCGCATATAGATTGATGGAATTTGGCGATACACCATCTAGTGCTCTGACTTTGGATCAATTTATGACAGTAGATTTGGAAGAAGAGCAGGATCCTCCAGCATTTAAAGCAGCGCGTAAAAAGGATAGAGAACGCTTACAAAGGGTATATGATTTTTTTTCTCGAATCGTAATATATTTCCTACTTTAACTTTAATTTAGTTTAAGATGTTCTTACTTTTCACTTAAAAACGATTCATATATTTTGATATAAGATATCTCACATTATAAAATATTCACTTTTCAATATACTTTTGTGCACAGAATAAAAATAATCGATTAATGATTTTACAATTTGCAAATAGGTGCAAAAATGTATTTTTTTTTAATTAAATAAAAAGATAAGATCATTAATTAATTATTTTTTTAATTTTCTTAATCTATATATAAAAATGTTAAGATAAAACTTAAAAGTGAATACAAGATGTATCATATCTTACGTGAGAAATCATTTGTCAATAACTTTTTTTAACGCGTGACAATGAAAATTAGGATTTGAAAATTATGCAGCTGTTAAATTTAAGTAATTTAAGTAATTTAAATAACGACATCGCAATGTTAAAATAATTTAAACAATGAATAGATTTGAGTTTATATACATTTTGCAAATTTACTAAATGTCTTGCCAACGATAACGATTGAATGACTTACTAATGATGTAATTGTGTATTACACTTTTATCGTATTATACGTTTAAGTATTTTTACATTTATTAAAATGAATTTAATGAAAGAAATGCCGATTATTTTTTTTCTTATAAGAAACACCGAGCCAAACGCAGTTGCAAGACTAATTGATATATATATTCCGAATTATATCTAAATTTTCGTTAAACAAACATTTATTTCATCTATTTAAAAAAATTTTTTTTTTATAAGAATGCGTGAAAAATATAGTTTTCTAGTTTACGATGATTTATGTTATTTATCTGCAAAATATCATTACAACTATTTTTCGTCCAATATTTCTCTATTTGATGTTCTTTTTACTTTCTTTTATAATATCCTACATTAAAATAAGTATGTAAAACTGTAAAATATTTATCTACTTATTTACACATACGTAACATTTATCTGCATATTTTATTACTCTCAAATTGAAATCTACCTTGAAATGTTTTTCACATATCAAGTTGTATTCTATATATAATGTTTTTTTTACTAATAAAATCAATCTGTTTAGCTAGAAAATATAGACATGGAAATAAGTGAACTGCAAGCAGAAATTGATAGACAGTTGGAAGATTACAGAGTAGGAAAGGCAAGAAAACGGAAGGATGGTAATTTGTATTCTTATAATATACATAATTTTAAAAATAAGAAAAGAAGGAAATATTTGATATAAAAGAAAAGCAACACATTTGGATATAATACAATTGCAGTAAATATAGTAGTAAATAATTTTTACAGTGTCTTTTATGGAAAGCGAAGATGCAGATAGATTCGTTCGCGAAAGTAATTTAAGTATAATACAACAGTACGTTGAGAACAATGTTGACGATCCTGACGAGAGAATTCGAGATGCCGCAATAGATGAAAATGACAGTTCTCTTATTACTGGATTGGGTGAGCATTCATACAAAAAATTGTATTATTTTATATTTTATTGAATTATATCGATCTGCGTTTGTCGTTTGGGAAAGAAGAATGGTTTTTCGTAGTTTTCTTCGATCTCTTCAAACTCTTGATATATAAAATATGCATATTATGATTCGTATTTGGTCTCGGAATTAAAAAAATTATGAAAGACTACTTTTCTTTTTCAAGACAACAAGTAAATGTCAAATTCTGCAGACCAATGTCGCAACACAAATTTATAATTTTATGAATCGCATACAGGTCCAGATATAGCATCAATGATGTCCACGAACGATCGTCCAAATGAATTTCGAGACAAAGTAGATAATTTCGAAAACGTAAGTGTTATCCTTTTATCTTTAAATTGGAATTACAAATTACACTTTTATCCATTTACATCTTTGTCTTGTGTAAATTTTTACTTTGGTTTACTTTATATCTAAAACATACATCTTGTTTTTATCACCAATCAATTTGTGAAGACAGTCATACGCTGCATTATGCATCAGATGATCGAAATAACTCGATAACACATTTTCTCGTCAGTCTTCCGAGGAAATCTACACGAATGACATCGATGACGAAGAATTGGACAGTTACATTCTTTCGGAGAAAGAATCGCAATCTAAATCTGCTCTTTGGAACAAAGTGAATGCTGATTATCTCGTTCAGCAAAAGGAAAAAGAAGAGAAGCGTCTAAAGGAGAAAGAAGAAGGTAAGCCTGAGAAAAAAAGAAGACGAACAACTTCCAGGAAGAATAAAATGCCCGCAAATACTGCCGGTAAGTTTATTACGCAATAGTCACGCAATAGCGTAAGTAAACATTCACGTAAAAAAAGAAAGAAAAAAAAGGTAGAGATCGAAGGACAGGTCAGATTAATCCATTAGGTGCAATTACATTATATTACTTTATTTCATTATCGATATGGAATGTCGGTTTTACGTTCGATGTTCAGCTATCTTTAGCTATTTTCAGTTGATGAAAAGACTGTTGACGGTGAATCTATTGAAATATCCTTGTATTTCGTTCGATATTTTTTTTTCATCGAGTCGTATTTTTTAAATTCTTTTCTCCATTAGGTGAAGCAATTGAAAAAATGTTGCAAGAAAAAAAGATATCCTCGAAGATTAATTACGAAGTATTGAAAAGTCTGAACAATCAACAACAAAACACTCAAGAACTATCTACCACGAATACATCGGAATTAGACGACGTGACAAATATTAACAAGCTGTTAGTATTTATTTAAGTTAGTTATTCCGAGTTTACGACCAAATCATCATTAATCAATTGATAAATATATGATAAATATGTTTTTATTCAGGGCAACCAATTCTACATCGACATCTGTGGAAATTTCACTAACGAGAAAGTATTGTTCCATTAAGCCAAATACTCAGCAATCGAAAAAAATGGATAAAAGACTAACAAAAGAGGATGAAAAATGTATGGAAAAAAGAAATTAATTCGATGGAAACGGATGCACCTATAGTGGACACGTCTGAAATTGGTTGTGTAACCTTTTTTATTATTTTTCTAGCCTTTATTTTTTTTTTTTTTTTTAATTTTTTCAACGTTTACTTATAACAGCGTTAAGTTTTACGTTAGTAAATTTTACAATAATAATAATTATTATTATATTACAGTCTACGACAATGACGACTATCTCGATGAAGAAGAACCTGACACTGCAGAAATGTCACTTGGGCAAATGCTCGAATCTCACGCGGCGTCCGAAGATGAATTTTGTGACGATGGTTACGAATATGAATAGAAATCGGAGTTTATATATACATGTATAACTTATAAATAACTTAATTATTTATTATTATTATCATCATCATTAGAAATTAAAGTCAATAATTAAAGTTAACAATCTACTAGATGTTTAACAAAAAGATAGACATTGCGTCATACAATTGAACGAGTGCAGTGCTCGAGCATCATTTCGACATAAAATTTCGATTCTACCTATATCATAGTTGTATGGAAAACGCAAACGTAGAAAAGCACCTGATTGTCGACTGACAATCAGTATCATACCGTTTCAACCTTGAACGGTATTTTTTGTCGAAATGTATTTTACAATTCAAAACATGATTCACATGTCGATTTTACTTTTTTGCAACGACAGTTATACGAATCGATAACGACTATTATGTTAGCTGTGCGAATGCCACAATATATATAACACTCTTCAGTTGCGAATGATGTCTAACAAGGATTGTAACATTCCTTAACATTTTATTATAAATTATTCATTTCTTCTTTCTCTCTATGTGTTCCTACTCCAATGCAACGCCATTATTTATGTATATATATATATATATATATTAATTATATACATTAATAATTAATGAGGTTTGTAAATAAATATTTCATGTATCTCAATTATTATTTTTTTTTTAATTTTAAGGATTACAAATATTAAATATTTTACACAAAAAATAATTTCAAAATTTTATTATATATCAACACACACAACATATTAACACAATTCAAGTTGAAAAATGTAAACTCTGTACTATAAAAGTAGGGTCATTAAAATGATGTTAAAGTTGAATTATCCTCAGTGTAACTCCATGTAACAGTTGTATTATTGTTTGTAATGCCAAATTTTGCTGTAATATCCAACTGAATGACCATAACAAGATATGTTATTACAGCTCCAGCAATCTATAAAAGAAATTTTATCAGGATGGATCGTGCATTATCTTTGTTAAAAAATTTATGAAAATGAAAGCAGATGTTGCTTACAGAACACATAAGAGGAATATTAATTTCATATAGTCCAAAGGCAGTGAATGTTAAATCCTCATGTACCAGCTGAAGTGAAAAATGTATCATCTAAACAAGGGAATTCATATATAAAAAAAAAACATTTAGAATTTTCTTAATTTCGCAAACATTCCTCCGTACAAACAATCTTACTTCAGCTCGCAATGATTTATATTCCAGAAAAACATCATGCAAAATTATCGCCATTCGCCTGAACTGCACATATAATATAGAATTAGAATTATGTATGTATATACATACACACACATACGTTTTTATGTTTTACACATACAACATGCGTGTGTACAATACTCAACTTCATTTCTCGACCGTTGACAAAGGTAGCTGATGTACAAAGATCGAAGAGCAAAGCAAGATACAAAAGTCACATGAAAAATCAATATCTCAGTATTACCACTGTTCGCTTTCATATAGTAATATAAATCATGCAGAAGAAGGATTATACCATTCAAACATATGGCTGAAGCTATTAAAAGATGGAAGCCAAAATTCGTATTTATCTGTGGATAAAAATATGTGGATTCGTATTCATGAATAATGCACTTTTCGAGGCCAGATTCGGATTTAACGCGCGCGCAAAAAAAAAAAGGAAAAAAAAAGGAAAATTACTCTTCTCAACAGAAAAATGTTCAATTTTGTGGGGCAGAGCAATTAGTAAATTGCAAATTACAAATTACTTTGCACGAGTACCTTTGTCGCTAAAACATATAATTCGTGATGAATATAACGAATAGCACGTATTTTCGTAATTAGAGCAGTATTGCATTCAACAAACGTGTTGGAATTCGTCGCCAAGTCAACACAGGAGACCGACAGAGCTTTCTCTTTCGAATGCTGTATCGCGATCTTGTTCAACTCGCGGAATCTCAGATACATGTCGTTTATGCAATGGGTGAACAATCCATCCATAATTAGCAAGCAGACTATAGGGTACCAAGAACGAACGGAATAGCATATCGACTGAAACGAATTATTTATGATTATATCGTAGGTATATTTCATCACGACAAATAGTATCGCGGTCGCTGTCCCCGCGTCTTGCAAATGCTTCGCAAGGAAAATATCCTTGTCCGAGAATCGCGCACCATAAGATCTGAAATATGAATGTGGCAAATACAACAATTGTAAAGAACCTATGATTTCTATTTCTATCCGCACACGATATCCGCATCTAACGCAAAAAGCGATTCTTCTATTTCAACTTTTTTCCTCTTTCTCTTCGTCAGCAGTTGATACAAAATATAATAGAATCTTGAAAATGCGGACAAGTGTAGAATAATAAGAACGGCGCTGCATCGTTCACGTCGAGCATTAACATTACTAAATGCCAAGAGTAAAATAAGATTTCTTTCATATTCTTATCTCTACAAACGGAGCGAACGATGTAGCAATTGAAACATTTCACTACACAACAATAGCATATTCTCGAGATCAAACCGAAGTCGAAAAATCTGATTTTATTTTTTACATCAATTTATTTATTTCTTTTATTTTTATTTATTTATTTCTTTTATTTTTATTTATTTATTTATTTATATATTTAAAAAAATTTTTTTTTCCAAATTCTACACGCCACAATGCAACGTGTCATACGCGGCACTCATACTCGGATTCTAACAATTATCTTATCGTTGTCAAAGATGAATTATTCCAAAGAAAAAACTTACTCAAGTATAGAGTCCACGATAATCATCTCTCGACGGGGAAAAGCAAATTGTTTCGGACGAAATACGGATGTGCCCACTATCGTCAGTACCAACAGAATGTTCATAGCGTACTGCAACGTTATCATGAACTTTCTGACAAGATGTTGCTCGCAATAACCGACGCAAATGTTGCGCCATGACATCTGACTGAAGAAGAAGAACAACACTACAAGTGCGAGACTGTACAATCTGCCCATGTAACTGACCAAATTGATTCCCAAGAGATGCGAAATTTTTTCGAGAGATTGGCCCGTAGAAGTTAAAAGTTCCTTCTTTTTGGAATCCATCGAAATATGTTTCTTTCCGATAACCCTAACGTTAAACGATCAACAAACGTGAAATGTACTAATCAAAATATACGACGGACGATCGTGTTCACCGCGATTAGTACAACGGTATCAGAAATCATACCGTCATACCGTCATATACAGTCGAGTCAACAATTTTATCTCAACTTTCAATCGGACTGTTCTATCGATCGTCAAGGTAAAAAAAAACTTAACTTGTACTCTCTCACAAATAACGTCAATACAGTAAAGCATTATCGCGAGCGCACAATAAACAAAATTGTCAATTAAAATGTCAGTAGTTACCACGCATCGTTCGACAGTCGACACAAAGTTTCTATCCAAGTGTCACAATATTTCCGCAATGCTATACAAATTTGGGATCATGCCATTCGAATGGAGAACTGAAGATTTGTACAGGATTGAATAAAATTTGTCACACTGAAAAATACAACAATAATACGAAATAAAGATATACAGGGTGTTTTATAACGTCCGTGCCAACGCTCGTGTACGGATAGAGTGCGGTAAACCGAATAGAAAAGTCCTTTACCGTTTTGCAATTTTCGCAATAGTAATTGAGATATTAATTAAAAGGGA